CTGGGGCTGCTGTTGTGCTGCACGGGTCTTGCCGCGCCGCCTCCCCAGCCCCGCCCCTCCGCCTCCATATTGAGGGTGGAGGAGACGTGAGCCTTCACAAAATGGAGGCAGGCTGCCTGCCCGCCGGCGCTGCGGAGAGCATTGGCTTCAGGGGGGGAGTCGCTAGTCGAGGCTGGAAAGAAAATTCCCCGCCTCCTCGGAGCCTAGTAATATATTTGGGAAGTCCTAGTAATATATTTGGGAAGTCCCTTAAACGGGTCAAGGGGAGAAACAAAGCTTGCTGACTGCAGGCAGGCTGGGCGTGTTTACATCTGCCCATCCCCGACAAAGGAGCGCTGCAGAATGGTGTGCTGTTTCTTGTTGAAACAGTGTGGTGCTTACACTAGGGAGCAAGGGAGAGATGTGATGTGCAAGGTTTGCTGCCCAGGAGAGACTGCTGTTACAACTAGCTTGCAGCAGGACTAAGAAACAACTTTTGGTGTGATAGAGGGCAGCAGTCATGAGAACCCTAGAGATACTTAACCCTTGCAAGAACAAAACTACTGGGGAAAAAAAAAAAAAAACCTGATTCCCTATTAAAATGTTGCTTTTTTTTTTCCTGTGGAGAGTTCATATAACATAGGTGTGTCCTGAAGATTTCTCTCTGATAGAAGAGAAGGTTCTGTCAGAAGTGTAACAGCAATTGCTTTTCCTCCCATATGAGAATGGCAGTTCATGTGTACATAATTTAGCAGAAAAGGACTTCACTTTTCCTTCCAGGAGTGACCTGAAGAGTTATGTGGTCATTCTTTTAAGGTAAAAGCAGTCTGAGTTGTTAACTGAAAACCCCACAGACTTGGGGGGTGCTAGAAAACTGTAAAAAGTTTGTCCAGTTTTTCCTTCTGTAGGTTTTTTGCTTTGGAGGAGTTTGAGGTCTACAGTTTCACATAATAGATTTCCTTTAATATGCATAGGAGAATTTGAAGCACTCAGTATTGCCCAGCTTTAACATAAGTCAAGCAAAAATTAAATAGTGTCAGTAGGTATAAAAAAACCTGCAATTAGCAACAAAACCCAATATTTCACTTCACCTAAAGCACTTCTTTTATACAGTAGGTGTGTTAACCCTGTAAAATGTTAAGTTTACATACATTTAGAAGGGAACATTTTTATGTTATTATTGTACTTCTGTACTCCAGACTACTTGGAATATCATAGAAAAGAAGCCTTAGTTTGTAGTCCCAGGATCGTTGACTGTCAATCGTTTACGTAATATTCCTGTAGTAAAAAAAGTAAGTGCCTTAAGTAGAAAATTGTTACCGACCAATGCTGAGGTGTTTTCTTGCTAAGTTTATCAGGTGTAAAGGCAGGGATTTGCTTCCAGCTGGCTTTTCATAATCTCAGGCATTGTTTCCTGTAGTACAACCTGAAGGTTGTAAACTGATATTTTTCTAAAGCAGCGTATAATTCAGAAATTCTCTTTTGCCATGTATTGCTTCACAATATTGATTGCTCTTTCAGGGGGTTGTGTTGCACTTAGAGGGATGTACACTTCTCTGACCAAACCTAGAACCACCATCCCCCCTTTATGTAAACTGTAGCAGAGGTTAAAGCACTCCACCTTACGATTTGAAGCAAGACTTGCGCACGTAGACATCTGTGGCTGATGTTAGATGGTTCAGCTCTCAGGCTACTGCTGCACCTAGTCAGGACTAACCCGCTGCAGCAGGCGTGTGGAAGCCTGTTACACACTCGTGCTGCGGAGCTGAAGTCACACTCGGCACAGCTAGCCAGCAGCGCGGCTGGCCGGCACCTTGTTGTGGAGTGGTTCACGTGCACCAAACTACCAGCTTGCGAAAGAAGGTTTTAATCTGGCTCTTTTTTATGAGACTTCTATGTCTTGGGGATGGGAGAAAGTTGTAAAATACTTCTTCATAAGCTCCTGTCAAATGTGTGGGAATATTCCCTGCCTAACGGAGAAAAAACCTTGCAACATTGAAGGAAAGCAGAAACACTAATACACTTGTAAACCCACTTCAGTTGTCGTATAGAAAACTGAGCTCTGAAAATTAGCATGCTTCAAAATGAGGCTAGCTGTATGTAGGTGCTGCTGTCAAAAGCTTCAATTAAACGTGTTTTCTTCATGCTACTTGTTAAGGTACCAGTCTTGTTCCAGTAGTTGTACCCACTACTGGTCATTGATAAGTAATTATCCAAGAGGGTTTTTTGTCTATAAGACATAAGTCTATGTTGATTCCCGTTTGAGAGGTATTTTCTCTCACTGAAAACCACATATGTATTTGCACTTTGTTGCTTGCATGCATTCAACTTAAAATATTATCGGAATACAGAATTTATAGGATTATAGAATTGATTTAATTTTAAGGAATTAATGATTGATAAATTTCTTCAAAATGCATAAAAATAACCTTTCGAAATAGATGCCCCAAAAGATGAGATACTCAGTTTGGACAATAACCTTTTTTCTCCTACACTGTTGTCTTAAATTTTTTTATAGTTCGTCATGATTATGCTTCATAAGTTGTTAGAACTTCCCTTTATATAACAATGCTTCATTGCTAATCCCTGCAGAGCAATATGCAACTCAAACATAAAATAGGCATAAAATGAGTGCACTTCCGGGGGGCTGGGGAGCAACCACATTTAGTATATTGAAGTCTCTTTACTGTTGATTGCATTTGAACACTATTAAATTGTTAGTTAGTGTTTTAATTAAAATCGCACCTCATTAAGTGTTTACTAATTCTGCTGTCTAAACCCATTAGAAATCATTGGTTTTATGTAAATGTATTCCATCTATTTGTAGTTACAGTGTGCACAGATGATTTTTAGTAATTTGTGAAATTTTAACTCTGTTGTTTGTATTCAAAACGTGCTTTTGATTTTTGCTTTTGTAGGGCCATGAGCCAAAGGAGCCAGAGCAGTTGAGAAAGCTGTTCATTGGAGGTCTGAGCTTTGAAACAACAGATGATAGCTTGAGAGAGCACTTTGAAAAATGGGGCACACTCACGGACTGTGTGGTAAAGTGTCAGATATTAGTTTGTGCATTTGAAAGGGTACAGGTAGTTAATCTAGTACAGACAAGCGGAGTACCCCCTATGTTTTTGCAGGTGATGAGAGACCCACAAACAAAACGTTCCAGAGGCTTTGGCTTTGTGACTTACTCCTGTGTGGAGGAGGTGGACGCTGCCATGAGCGCTCGACCACATAAGGTTGATGGACGCGTTGTTGAACCAAAGAGAGCAGTTTCAAGAGAGGTAAGTTAGTGTTTCAGTTCACCTTATCTCCTAATCTGTACCTAATAATTTAAAACACTGAATGTAATTTTTGGCGTTGTAGGATTCTGTAAAGCCTGGGGCACATCTCACAGTAAAGAAAATATTTGTTGGTGGAATTAAAGAAGATACAGAAGAGTATAATTTAAGAGAGTACTTTGAAAAATATGGCAAGATTGAAACCATCGAAGTCATGGAAGACAGGCAAAGTGGAAAGAAGAGAGGCTTTGCTTTTGTAACTTTTGATGATCACGATACAGTTGATAAAATTGTTGGTATGTAACTTTAGAGAGAAATGGCTTGTGGGATAGAAGTATAGTGTTAAACTTCAGAACAGCAGTGTGCAGAATGTAAGATGCTGGCCTAATGAACTGCTTTATTATTGTAAGAGGTAGGGTAGATTTAATGTTCCTTTTAAAAGAAGTGGTCATGCCTTACAGGAGTTTTCTGTGACAGTTTTACAGCATGTAGCTTGCAGTGATTTGATTTTCTCTCTCCTATGTCACAATTTTCTCTAGTTCAGAAATATCATACTATAAATGGACATAACTGTGAAGTGAAAAAAGCACTCTCAAAACAAGAGATGCAGACTGCTAGCTCTCAGAGAGGTGAGTTTGGAGTTGTGCATGGTTATTTAACGTAACTGATTTTCAATTAATGTAATTTTAAGTGAAATATTTTGTAGGTCGTGGAGGTGGCTCAGGCAACTTCATGGGTCGTGGAAACTTCGGGGGCGGTGGAGGGAACTTCGGCCGAGGAGGAAACTTTGGTGGAAGAGGTAAATGGAATGTTTATATTTAACGTGTTCTCTCCCTTTTTTTTTTTTTTATTTCCTGTGTCACTTGCCTTTAATACTTAACACACATGTTCAGGGAAACATTCTCATCTGTTCTGTGTTGCAGGAGGCTATGGGGGTGGTGGTGGCGGTGGTGGGAGCAGAGGAAGCTTTGGGGGTGGTGATGGATACAATGGATTTGGTGATGGTAAGTGTATTCACTTTCAGTATTTTTCCTGCCAATGCTATGACTGTAAGTTTTGCCTTCACCCTAGCAAAGAAGTCTGTTTCGGTGGTCATGTTTTCTGCGTTGTAGGGCTCTGAAGAGTTAAAGGTTTTTTGTTTTCTCAAAAAATGAGAGTGTAAAAAATACTCTTCTAGGTTTACCCTTTCAAGTGACCTCATGTCATGAGGTCATGCAGCAGCTGTTCATGATTGAGAACCAAACGAAGATTCTGGTGTCAGTTGAGATTACTAAAACTGAGTAAGACAAACTAACACACCAAATACTTTTTGGTCAACTGTAAGGCCTTCATGGCTCAGCAGTGTTGTTTTCACAGTGAAGTTGGGATGAGTATCCAAAACGCATCTGAAGGGAACTGTGGAAATGACCAAAGGTCTGTGGAAGTAGCACTTCTGTGACGGGGAAAGTATGAGGGAAGTGGCATGTAGTTACTTAATGTCCTGATTGTATAACCAGATACATGTTGTGTTCTTTGGAACTATTTCTCAGTTTGGAATTACTCCATCAAAATATCAGGGACCAGATCAGCATCTGAAATACCAGATACACTTTATGTGTATGTCTAGATAAAAACTATAAACCAGGATTCTTGGGAGGATGATGGGCAGTAGTGACAAAGCTGTCTGTGTAAGGAGGTGGTTACTGCATGGTGGAGGGGTGGTAGCAGCATGTCTCTTATTTCCTGTGGGCCTGAATGAACTTCTAAGTATCAAGCTGCAAAGGAATTTGTAAACGAATGGGGATTTTGTTTGGATTAAAAAGTTAAATGATGCATCTGCAATGCATGTAATGTAGAGAAAACATTTTTAGGGTCTGATTACTCTGTGTGTGTGTTTGTCGGGGGGAGGTTGGGTTTTGGTTTTTTTGTTAAATGGGCTTTTCCTTGCCTATGTGTGCTTCGGTGTGTTCAGTTTTGACTGTTTTTTTCAAAGGTGGCAACTATGGAGGTGGTCCTGGCTATGGCAGCAGGGGGGGTTATGGTGGTGGTGGAGGACCAGGATATGGAAACCCAGGTGGTGGATATGGAGGTGGTGGAGGAGGATATGATGGCTACAATGAAGGAGGAAATTTCGGTGGTGGTAAGATGCCAACTTTAGTAAGACATCTATGTTCTTGAGGCAGGTCGAGCTGTGCAATGCCTGAAGTGTGATACTGCATGAAATGGGTTGTACAGTTAAGTTTTAATGTAGACAGTGTTACAGAAGGAATGTTCTTTTGTCTGGATCAGCTTTTATGCACCATACCACATTGTTCTGCCTGGGGTTTTTTTAGGAAATAAATTGTATGTAGCTTACATTATTGCCATAATATGCTAGAGCATTCAGCAGTGAAGAATGATGATGAAACTCAGGTGCTTCTCTGAGTTTGAAGAACTTTGGGCTACTTCAGATTGCCTACTCAAATCTGTATAAAATTTCTAATGCCATAGAATTAGAATCATTAAGGTTAGAAAAGACCTTTAAAATTACCACGTCCAAGTGTTATGTCATGTAATGTTTTTCATCTTCAGTGAAATACCAGTTTCTAATCCTCAAAATCATTAGTGGCTCCTGTCATTTGGGCATTGTGAGTAGAGGCAGCATGCAAAATGCTTGCATTTTATATTTTAAATTGTTTAAAATTATTACAATTTACATTACATTGGATGTTCATGATTTGGCAAGCTTCGTGTCCTAAGTGTTGAAGAAACAGAGCTTTATAAATCCGTCTTGTTTTCAGGTAATTATGGTGGAAGCGGAAACTACAATGATTTTGGCAATTACAGTGGACAGCAACAGTCTAACTATGGTCCCATGAAAGGTGGTGGCAGCTTTGGTGGCAGAAGTTCGGGCAGTCCCTACGGTGGTAAATATTCTGTACAGGAAATAACTCTTGGGGTTAAAATTTCCTGTTGTTCTTGTATTCCAATATCCACCCTGTTTCCTGTAGGTGGTTACGGATCTGGAAGTGGAAGTGGGGGCTATGGTGGTAGAAGATTCTAAAAATGCTACCAGAAAAAGGGTAGGTGTAATGCATATTTATAATGATGATTGATAATGTACAACTGTTCACTGAGAGTAATAATTTTCTTATCCTGTATTCAACAGGCTACAGTTCTTAGCAGGAGAGAGAGCGAGGAGTTGTCAGGAAAGCTGCAGGTTACTTTGAGACAGTCGTCCCAAATGCATTAGAGGAACTGTAAAATCTGCCACAGAAGGAACGATGATCCATAGTCAGAAAAGTTACTGCAGCTTAAACAGGAAACCCTTCTTGTTCAGGACTGTCATAGCCACAGTTTGCAAAGTGCAGCTATTGATTAATGCAATGTAGTGTCGATTAGATGTACATTCCTGAGGTCTTTATCTGTTGTAGCTTTGTCTTTCTTTTTTCTTTTTATTTTCCCATTACATCAGGTATAATGCCCTGTAAATTGTGGTAGTGGTACCAGGAATAAAGAAATTAAGGAATTTTTAACTTTTGAATATTTGTGTAGTTCAGTTTTTCCACATTTAGTACAGAGAACTCTATAACAGAAATAAAATGTAGTTTAGGGTGTTTCCTTGTTAGTTAATAGAGAGGATTAATGCATTTCTCCATTACTATTTTGTATTAATTTAAAGTTAACAATAGAAACACCTATTGATTTGCAGTCTTAAGGGGTCTAGTCTCAGTGTATATATGTAACTGTCATCGACATGAGTTACATAGGCATACAGAGGGAAAACATCTGTATGTTGCATTATAGTTTGTTTAGATGTATAACTAGGATTGAGTTACTCAAATTAGTGTTTGTGAATTATAGAACTAAGCTTTACCTTATTGAAACTTTCAAATTACTTTTTGGTTTGTGCATATTTTTTTAATTTGTAGTTCTGTATTAGTACTAGCGCTTAAAGAAAATAAGGCATGATAAATATTTTAACAAGACCAACTTTAGACACATTAAAGCTGTCTCCCTTCTCATTTGAGATGTACAAAGGATAACTGCAGTTGCTTAAGTCTCGGGTGAAGACAAAAAGAACTTGTTTTTTACCTTTATATTTATTGTAATTCCCGAGAAGTTAAGGTGGGGGGAATCAAGTGCCTGTTTCCTTGGGATATACAATGATTATGTTTCAATAAAACTATACTTTGGGGAGGGCGGCTTGGAATTTTCATCCCCATCCTTTGTCCCCGTTTCCCTCTCCCTCACACCAGACTGCACTGTTTCAATTAAATGAGGCGTCATAGTGAGAGCAATAGGTGTGTTCCTCAATAACTTAATGGCTATATACTTTCTTGCATGCACCCTAGGCAATTTTCTGGACACATTCTTCTGACTGGGAGCCAAGGGTAGCACAGGTGTAATCCCTGACAGTCCCAGGTAACGCGTTCCAAAAGCCCCTTCACCGTGGGCTCTAAGTAGTAGTTTTCGAGCCTTTTCCCTCGCAAGTGTCTGTGCTCAGCTGAGAGCTCAAAGATAAACCAAAACACGACCTAGATCTATTTTGCTGACTAGACACGTGTCCCACGGTGTAGAATGGTACAGCCGCGAGTCGCCGCAGGCAGAACGGTAGCGTGTTACCCTCTGTTTTGATGCACTGGAGTAGCAAATCTTATCAGCACATGTGGCTGGAAATTGTACTTCATTCTCACTTCTCACCTCCAAATTAAGGCGCTGCAGTCTGGCCTTTTCCCACCTGAGGTGAATTCTCCTGACTGTTGCTGGGACAGTGCGTGCTGTCCGTTCAGACTCAAAAGAGTAGGGTCCTCCCAGTCGGTAGAAGAAATACTCAGACACTTGACAATGTGGTATTGGAATTACTCACACCTGTTTCGCTGCTGAGTCGATGTGCAGTATAAGGTAAATGCAATTCCAGTGTAGGAATGAATCTGCAAAGATGTATGAAATGGCTCAAGGCATAATCAGTCATATTAATAATGAATTATAAGTCTAAGAAGTAGTAGAAAAATGTGTTGTTTGAACAAAAAACAAAAAATTAAACAATGTTATTTAAACAATGTTATTGGAGTGTATTTAGACTGCAGTATGCTAAAACAAGGAACCGGTGTCAAGATGGTAGCCTCCAAACTGGATTTCAAAGTCTGCTTCTTTTCTGTGGAGTTTTAAAATATCTCTAAACTTAAAGCAAGAATTGGTGGTTTAGTGAACGCTTCTGTTGTTGTACATATTAATTTGGGCTTGGGGTGGGCGGGAGGCTGTATTTCAATAAAGGCATTTTTTAAACAACCCATTTGGAGTTTGAAAACATGGGAAACTAAAACATGACTCACTAGGGAGTATCCACTTAACTACTGACTTGCTTTGTACGTTACTACACTTAGAAGATGTGTAGACTTGTATGTGGGGCCTGCATCTGACTGCAGGGACAACTGGAGGATGGGGTTGGTGTCCCTTCTGAAATTGATCTGGTATTCCTAAATTTGTTAGAATGTATTGACAGTGTTCTTTTTAACAGGGCCTCTTGTAGCTGTACTGTGACAAGAATGTTAACTTTGAAAAATAGTGTCATAATAAACTTTTATGAACAAGATCTGTATGCAACCTTTTAAGAGATGGATGTAAGTGACCGCTTTGTAGGTGGGTGGGGTAGCTTAGCTGTCGTTTGTGACGTGGAAGTGTCAGCCATGAGGACAGTGATGAACCAGCTTTAAAGAACCTAGGATGTACTTCTTTGATCCATACTTTGCTAAGGAGACTCGTAAGACAGGACTTCAGCAGCCTATTGAGTATGGAGAAGTCAGCATAATTAAAGAATGACGAGGCAGCAGGAGCAACAGCTTCAACTTCCAGAAAAGTGAAGGCATAAGATACTGTGCTGATAGTGAGCAGCTTTCCAAAGGCTAGTTAAATCTGCTAATCGCAGCTGAAATATCGAAGAAAGTCTAGCAAGAGTTCTTCACCTTTTGGAACCTCCTTGAGTGATAGCTACTTGAGTTGACTCAAAATCAATAGGTCTAGCATTTAGACCTGAAAGGAAGGGCAATGAGCATAGGTAAGGTTTGCCTTTAAAATTTTTCATGAATTATAAAGAGTAATGGGAGGTTTTTAAACAAGGTAAGAGTAATTTCTTTAATTTTCAGGTTGAATGAGAAGCTGCTGCTTGACAAAATGGGGAATGTCTTGCACATCCTCTTCAATTGAAGGTTTCTGACTGGGTAAGATCTGTAGTGTATAGTAAAACACTTGTTTAACCCTTATTTCCTTCTAGGCTTTCCTTTGCCAGCCTTGTAATATCACGGAAAGCCTTAATTGTTAAGGAGCAAGTATTCCAGCATGTGCCATCCAGCGTTCCCCGTTCTGGATGAGGGCTGCTTGCTGGTATAATTGCTATTCAAGAATCTTCTGTTCTAGCAGGTACAAAATTGCTGCGTGTCCAAGATCAACAAGGCAGAAATGGTAAATGTTCTGAAATGCGTGCCATAGTTACTGCGGGGAGTGTGCGAGGGGTTGGGGGTCTTTGAGGAGCTGTTTGTTGCCCTGTGATAGAGCCCAGGAGGTGACCCAGTTTTTTTACGGAAAGGTGAAGACACGGAAGCAGCTGGTCACAACGAACTTGTCAGTGTGTGATGCGCTGCTGCCACCGCCGTAACTCTAAAGGCACTTTGCACTGGGCAGAGCAGTGGTTTCCCTCCTAATAAATCAGTCTTGGCTTACCAGGTGGGTTTGAATGGATCTGTAAAAATCAAGAGTTCCCTCTCAGGTTTTGGGTGGTTTTGGGCAGGCTGGTTTAGTGGAGGGTAATGCTGTCATGTGATACCCAGCTGAAAGCACAGCGGCATCTGTACAGATGGATGGCAATAAAAGAACTTCTCATGGAATCTGCTTTTTATGCACATTGGTTCTTAACTCTTGGAACATCTGTTTCTTTTCCTGTATGTTTAATTGCTACAGGTCCTGGGATATTAACTCTTTTAAAGTCCCCAATAGATTTTTGAGTCTCATGCATTATTTTTGTGAAGTCAGTTTCTGGTTTGGTGTTGGTTATACTTTAGTAACTCAGAAAATAAAGCTGGATGGACCCTGTGAATTTCAGTTTAACCTGGTGCTTAGGCATGTTCACAGACTCATTCAAGTTTTTAAACTTGTTACCTGCTGTCTATAAACATCCAAACTCTTAGCATGGTAACATATAATTAAAAGTTAACTTTGAAGTCATTTGCAGTGGTAATGTTGAGATTTTGGTATAATCAGGAGTTATTTAATGGAACTCCCACAATACCTGTATGTATTTAAAATAAATAAATAAATGTTTAGCCAAGGTTTAGCTGAAATTTGAAACCATGGCAGTAAGGTCACAGTCTCCCCTTAGTGTGCCAGACAGCTTGTTGCTGAGGTGACAAGCTTGACACCTGGAGATGGAAAACCTGCTTCTCCTCTGCTAGGCAGAGCTGCCTTGTGAGCTCACCTCTAGGCATCTGTATGCAGCACCAGGGGGCAGGGAAGGGTATTAGAGTGCCTTGTGATTACTCAGTTGAGAGCAAACCTTTTAAAGTATTTGGGAGGGAGAATATAACTTTTTTTTTTTTTTTTTTAAAAACAGTAAAATCCTGAAAATACTTTAACAAAACCTTTTTCTAGTTTGCAGCCTGTTACTAGGCCTGTGTATATAGAACAAAGCTCTACCTTGCCTTAACATGAGACAGGATTCTACACTGCTGCAGACTTGCTTTGTGCTATGGAAGGGTCTTTTTGCACCACATGTAGAAATAGTTACTCACTTCTAGACTTGTTTTCACACTGGGATTTATAACACACTCAGACTAATTAGCTTAATTTCAATTTCAATTTGTTCAGAAATAAGCTTTGTCAAAGATAAACGCATCCTTGAGTGCTTGGTCATATGTATCTTTGTCTAAGAGGCACTTCCAAGAGTTAAGAATACTGTTTCCTGGCTAGGCTTTTGTATAGGCTACTATGGAAAGCAGCAGCTGTAAATGGAGATGTAGAGAAGGTTAACGAAGAATTGGTGCCTAAGCTGTGGTTTCACACAAGTTTATTTGCTATCTAAACCTGTGTGTTAATCAAAAAGCAAATGGTACTTCCAGGTAATAAAAATTTATTTCTCAAAAAAGGGCCCAGGTTAATGCAGATGTGATAAGTATTTTGTTACTATAGAACACTGAAATTAAATGCAGCATCTCAATGTTGATATCATTTAAATATTGAAGGCGGGAAGGGGAATGCTCCTGGCCTTGCAAGTATAGATTGTGTGATGAACTGACGGGTCTTTGGTTCCTGTGCTTTAAGACATTAACATGTTTTCATATACTGTCAACACCGCAGTGGAATACCCACTTATGTATCAGTCTGTGGTCTCTGACAAGTGTTTCTATCTTGAATTGTGTGGAGCATGAAAGATCTTGACTATCACTAGAATTCGCATATCTGATGGATGATTCTTTTTCTGCTGTGGGTGCTACAGGTTGACATCTCTAAGATTAGCTTTTTCCTGAACTAAAGTAATCCAAGTATCTCCGTAGAAGAAAAATGGCCTTCATGTAGAAGATAATATCGCAAGATTGGAACAGAATAATATATTGTAATAACTGACAAAGACTTCAAGAGCAATGGTGCTAGTGTGCTGAAATCTTAGAACTTGTGGTTAAACAAGTTTAAAAATAACATGGAAATTAAAAATTTCAGTATAGTCCATAATGGATTGGAATTTGTTAAAATATTTTGATTTTGTATCAGAATAAAGTGTGTATTGTCAGATGACTTACATCTAAAACGCGTTGCCATCACCTTTTTTTAGTGCTGTGAGGAACATGAAGCGGTCTTAAATTATTGCAGCACCTTGGTTTATGGGATCGTCTTTTCCAACTCAGGACTGCATGCCAGAAAACCTTGGTTGAGCTCAGCTTTGCTTTTAATAGTTTCAAAACTGAATGTTTTGGTCAAGAATTAAGTGGTCTCCACGTGGAGACTTGTTGGTATGCGAGGTCAGCACTGTTATACATTAGACTTGGCAGTGTCACCGGTCACTCAGGTTTGGGAACATGCTCTGTACCTCGGCAATAATAAAATGAAGGATATAGTGTGCAATCTGATACTTTCACATATATCACAGTAATTTCACGAGTATGACGCTGGGTGTTTCAATGCAATTACAGCATTCACCGTGTTCATGAAATGAGAAATGCTGGTTTAAACTAAACGCAAGTTGTTGTGGTCCAAGTTACTTTGGACTGATTCTTTGCCTGGTGGAGTTCAAACAAGGCTTCTGCAGTAACTGGGTTTATTGCTGTTGCTCTTTATTGTGGGAATGGAGTAAGTAGCCCTGTATTAAGTTTTAGACATGTGAGTAGTACAAATACCAGGGCCCCTGCAAAGACTGTAAGGATGCTGTTTGGCCGCTGGCTTTTGCATTAATGATAAAATAAGGAAATGGAGGGCAGAGTTTTACTGAAGTTTTAGTGTTTTATAGCCAGTTTGTAATTAAAGTATTTCTACTACAGCTAGAGAGAGCACTTTTCTCTGTCAGACATTTGATAGCCTAGTTAATGGCAGGGGCAAGAGGAACCCAGGAACTCTTCATTTTTAGGTTCTCTGCTTTGCCATTAGAGCTCTTGTGTATCAGCATTGACTCTGGCCAGGGCCAGAGCTTGTTTTGTTTCCTCCTTAATGCTTATGCTTTAAAGTTGCTGTCTTTAAATATGGATTAGATGCACTTGCTTTAAACTGCAGCAGTGTCTCAGGCCTGGCAGTTGTCAAGGATGTTTTCCTTCCTCGCCTGTGCTGGTGGCAAAGTCAGTAAAGGCAAGAAAAACATCCCTTACTGCTGCCCTGTCTTTTACTTTAGCTGGTGCTTGTCTGCCCTATCTAGAGCAAATAAATCTGCTTTGTCCATCAAATCCAGCCTCTGGGTCTTCAACTATTGGTATTTGGCCATTTGTCCCCAAAAAGAGGAGTGGTTTTGCATTCAGTGGGATGGATGGAGAGGCCATTGTTACCGAGGAAGAAGGTCGGTATAAACAAGGTAAGCAGCCTCAAGGTGCAAGTTGGGTCACCTGGATATACATTTCTCTGTCTTCTGCAAAATCACAGATGTTACTACTTGATGTAAGAGGCAGGGTTCCTAGCACTTCTGGGGGTGCTGGAAATCTGAGGCTACAGGCTTTGTCATTGCTTTGCTGTATCTGCTGTCTTACATAGAGACATTCTTTTCTCTTAAGGTAGGCAGAACTTTGGGTTCCAGTCCCAGGTTTAGGTACCAAAGACCTTCTGATACTGGCACTTGGCATTACTCCTGCCTTTTAAAGATTATATCATCAATGGGCTCCTGGCATTACGCTGCCTTGGAGCAAAACTGCCACCTTGGTGAAGCTGCTGTTACCGCTCGGCTTTCTTCCCCTGCTCTCGAGGGGCAGGGGGAGTGTTTGCCCAGGTGCCAGAGAGGACTGCTGCTGTTCACAATTAGGTAACATGAGGATGAATGACAAGGTGCAAAAGACGATTGTGAGGAGTTACACTGATACTGCTATGACTAGCTGGACAGTAAAATAGCATTTGAAATTGTGTACACAGGGAAAATCAAAACTGCTACCTACATAATCATAGGCTTCAAAACCTGTTCATGCTATTCAGGTGAGAGAGCTTGGAGTCACCAGAGAGCTGTATGAAAGCAGCAAACAGCACAAAACAGGAGACCTTCCACAGCATCCCGGAACAGAATAATATTCATCAGAACTATGGCTTTCTCTAGCTCCTCTTTGTGCACCTTTTCCTTTTTTTGAAGGATGCCAAAGTGTTATAGTATGGAATTGGGATTATGATAATCTAAAATGGCCAGCCATCAAATGAGATACTTTCTGACAGATAGTGCAACTCCAGCACAGTTTAAACCATTGGGAAATAAAAATCTCACAACTGAATTCACCAACAACCATATAATTTTATTCAGCATTACTCTTAATCTTGTGAATAATAAGCTAATGGAAGGGTGGTCTCCTAATCTGGTGTCCCTCTTCAAACCCTTTTTCCTACAACATTATTAAACAACCTTCTGTGTGTCCTACTCTACCCTTCTTCAGTTTCTCCAGTTCCTCCTTTTAAAAAAAGTACCATAAGTCTTGAAAAAAAACTTGGGCTTTTATTATATTAAACAAAGTTATGCATAATATTGTAATAGACAAACTATTCCTAAAATTATATAGAGCATCAGTGGCGAAAAAAGCACTTCAGCTTAAGCATGTCTGTATAGAAGTTTCCCAGGGACGGTGAAGGAAGGCGATACAATTTTTAATGTTTGGATCAATGTGTATTTCAAATTAGGCATTTTCGGTATTCAAAAAGGCCACAATGATCAAGTACAATAAGTCCTTATGAAATGTAAACAAACCAATCCTAGTTATTTATCCAAATTTTTATTCTCTTATAAATCATAATTTAAACTCCACAGTGCTTTTCAATTCATTAAGGAGACGTTCCAAACAGTGCAGGTGGCAGTCAGTGTGGCTTTGTCCATAAGCTCCAAAGTATAAGTGAGTGATAATCAAATCATCAAAATCATTAGAAGTGATATCTGAAGTGATAAACAGTGTTCACTGGTCTGGGTGAGAAATACACAGCTGTATTTCCAGAACAATGACTCAAAAGTGTATGGAATTTTTAGCTGGGAAAAAATGCTGACCATGTTTTAATTAACAGATTTTTAAATGCCTTTGGAGGAAAGATATCATCATGAATTTAACGTTCAAACAGCAAAACAAAAATGACTTAGACTTTGCATAGACTTGAAACTTAACTTTGTGTAACACAATCCTTCCAAATGGCCATTAAAATGATATTGAGCAAAGCACTGGTAATGCTGACAGTGCTGTGTGACATCTCTGACTGATTAGTAAGCCTATCTGTTACGTGACAACTTGGCCCTGGAAAACTAGTGAGGATTTCCCTTCTTCAGGGAAATAAATGCATATGGAGTAGAGTTAAAAAGAAAATTAATGAACTGATAAATCAAAATCAAACACTAAGTATCAACTTTTATAGTAAATTAAAATTATATATTAAATATAAAGTATAAATGTGTAAGAAAAATGGGAAACAAACACTATTGTATATTTATAAAAATATCAGAAGCCATACTGTTTGTATTGCAAGAAATTATATTTAGAAGGCTAAAATCATTTATATATCTCAAATCTAAGAATATAACAAGAGATAGAAACAGTATATAAATATGTTATCTTTAAATATTTACATGTATATGGAAACTAGTCAAAGTGGTGCTATAAGAAGGAAATGTCTGTTATAAAAGTGAGATTACAAACCTTGCATACATCCATCTGCATTACACTATTAGTTTTAAACTTGCATCTTCATAAACTATTTATTAGCTTTACAATGATCATTGCATAGAATCACTTGAAAAATTTGTCATTCCACCTCACAGTAAAAAACTATCAAGATAACGATACAAAAATAGGAACTCAGAACAGTAGCAAGCTGTGTTGCTCTTCAGCGTTTAGTCTCTGATGTCTTGATCCTAGGAACAAGATAGACGTTGCCATCTCTAGTTTGGTGCAGTGAATATTCACTAGGAGAGTAAGACCTTCCATCTTCATCACGTAGCATGCTGAAGACCTCAAGGTATAAGGTGGTCAGTTGCTTTTTCATTTGACGGAGGCTTTTGTCATGCTCCCCTTTTTCCTTAAGCAATTTCTCTCTCTCATCTTTTAGGTTACTCAAGTCTTGCTCCAGTTCTACTATATTTTCCAGTTTTCTTTTACGGCAGTTTTGAGCAGCCACTTTGTTCTTGCCTCTCCTGCGTATGTCTCGAATAAGCGCAAGCTGGGCCTCATTGAACTGCTCCTTAGACATCATTTCATTGAAGTCATCAACAGGGAGATTGATGATTTTTTCAACAGGAAAAGGGATCTGCAGAGCTTTTGCTCTTTGCTCATCTCTTGTGAGATGAGCTTCGAGGCGGCTCGAAGGTTTATCTTTCATGAACGGAGCTTTGGGGTGGCCTGGACTGGCAGGAGGTTCCTTCTTTACTGTGCTTGTACACTGCAAACTGGGTGTTTGAGTGCTTGGCCCCACGGAAGGAAGCGCTTGATCCCGGAGCTGCAGAGAGTACACGCCAGCGTTGCTCTGCGGCACGCTTCCAGGGGCGCTATCCGTGTCTTCCATTTCAGAATCACTACAGCCAAAAGCCTTGTCCCCATAGGCAGATGATTCAACAGAGTGTTCAGGCGAGGCAACACTGGAGCTTGCATTCAGTGAGATCCCAGAGTCAGAGTCGTTACATTCTGGAGCGGTTCCTGAGTGGCTGCCATTGAAAGCTTTACACAGCGAGAAATCAGAAAGATCAATAGGTTCACTCAGAATCTCTGCAAGTGATTGACTGATAGTGTTTGTTGTTTCTGTGTCATCGTTCGCCTTCGTATCAATAAAGGTAGTGTAGAAATCCTCACAGAAATCAGAGTTTGAAGAGGGTGTGTCATTTAAAGAGTTCACACCCAGCTGGCTGGTGTCTTCTGGTGGAAAAATGCTGGAAAAGGGGCCCTCGATACTATCCAGGAAATCTGGACTGCAGTTAGCATCTTTTCTCATGATGGGCAATGAGCTGTAGTAATTATAGCTGTCCTGCATCTCTGCTGGCTTCGTCCCAGGACTTGTGATTGTGCTTACCTCAGCCAGGTTATCATTTTCAATGTTAAGACACTACGTGGGAAACACAAGAGAGAAGTTGAGCAACACAAATCCGATTGGTAAAACATATTCTAGCAATCAACATGCATGTAGGTATTAGACCACTGCTAGATACCTAAGCAAGAGTATGACACAACTTGTTCTGAACAAAGGTAATTAGATTAAGAGAGCAGAGCCTCTCAAACTCACGGCGAGTTTGCGACTCCTGCTGA